TATCTATCTATCTATCTATCTATCTATCTATCTATCTATCTATCTATACACATATATATGCATACATGTAATTTTTTCCTTCCAACTACCCTAATACTGACAAAAGTCTCATGAGTTACAAATATCATCTTTCCATGCAGGAATGTAAACAGTTCAACCTTAATAAATCTCTTATGATTTCTCTTTCCTGTTTACCTCTTCATGTTCCACTTGAGTCTTGTATTTGAAAGCCAAATTTTCTATTCAGCTCTGGTCTTTTCATCAAGAACACTTGAAAGTCCTCTATTTCACTGAATGACCATTTTCCCCCCTGCAGGATTATACTCAGTTTTTCTGGGTAGGTGATTCTTGGTTATAATCCTATCTCCTTTGCCCTCCGGAATATTATATTCCATGCCCTGCGATCCTTAATGTAGAAGCAGCTAAATCTTGTGTTATCCTGATTGTGTTTCCACAGTACTTGAATTGTTTCTTTCTGGCTGCTTGAAATATTTTCTCCTTGACCTGGGAACTCTGGAATTTGGCTACAATATTCCTAGGAGTTTTCCTTTGGGGATCTCTTTCAGTAGGTGATCAGTGAATTCTTTCAATTTCTATTTTGCCCTCTGGTTCTAAAATATCATGGCAGTTTTCCTTGATAATTTCTTGAAAGATGATGTCTAGGCTCTTTTTTTTGATCATGGCTTTCAGATAGTCCAATAATTTTTAAATTCTCTCTCCTGGATCTATTTTCCAGGTCAGTTGTTTTTCCAATGAGATGTTTCACATTGTTTTCTAATTTTTCATTCTTTTGGATTTGTTTTGCAGTGTCTTGATTTCTTATAAAGTCACTAGCTTCCAATTGTTCTATTCTAATTTTGAAGGAAGTATTTTCTTCAGTAAGCTTTTGGACTTGCTTTTCCATTTGTCCAATTTTGCTCTTTAGGGCATTCTTCTCATTGGCTTTTTGGACCTCTTTTGCCATTTGGGTTAGGCTATTTTTTAAGGTGTTATTTTTTTCAGTATTTTTTTGGGTCTCCTTTAGCAAGCTGTTGACTTGTTTTTCATGATTTTCTTGCATCACTCTCATTTCTCTTTCCAGTTTTTCCTCTACTTCTCTTAATTGCTTCTCAAAATCCCTTTTGTGCTCTTCCAAGGCCTGGGACTGATTCATATTTTTCTTAGAGGCTTTGGATGTAGGAGCTTTGACTTTGTTGTCTTCTTCTGGTTGTATGTTTTGATCTTCTTTGTCACCAAAGTAAGATACTATAGTCTGACTCTTTTTGCTCTGCTTACTCATGATCCCAACCAATTACTTGAGTTTTAAACTCTTTGTTAAGGTAAGAGTCTGCTTCCAATGAGGAGAATGTACTGTCCCAAACTTTGAAGGTTTGTACAGCTGTTTTCAGAGATACTTCTAGGGGCCTGAAAATTTTCAGTTCTTCTAAGGTGCTATGATAAGGGGTGAGGTGTTTCCTCTCCACCACCACAACAAGCTCCACCCCACCAACACTCCTCTTTGCCCCAGGACTGTCCCTCAGAACTGTGACCCAGATCCAAGCAGGACAAAGCAAGAGATTCCTGCCTCAGCACTGGCAAAGAAATCCCTGAAATACCCCTCTGATCAGCCACTCAATTCCCCCTCAGTCTGTGGGCCAGAAGCTCAGGAGGCAGCCGCCACCCCACTTGCGGCTGAGACCTAGCTTCTCTCTCTCTCACCGCAGTCACAGACTTCCCACTGACATTCTAAGTTGTCTTTGGTGTTCATGGGTTAAGAAGTCTGGAAACCACCATAGCTGCCCGTGATTAAGCCCTCTGAGGCCTGCTCCAGGTTTGCTGAGGCCTGCGCGCCCACGCCAAACTGTGCTCTTCTCCCCAACTGGTGAGATATACCTTTCTGATCAACCATTCAGGTTGTCTTGGGCTGGAAATTTGTTTCAATCTGTCTTTTTGTTGGTTCTGTTGCTTTAGAATTTGTTTAGAGTCATTTTTTTTACAGGTATTTGGAGGGGTTTGGGGGAGAGCTCAAGGAAGTCACTGCTTTCACTCTGCCATCTTGACTCCACCCCTGTTTTCTAATTTGTATGGCACACCTAGCACTAGTACTGTGCTTTTTATGGATTGGATTAGAATATATTGTTGGCCTACATAGTCACCTTATTTGGATGTCTCTATGAGTTTATATGACTGTCTTCCGGTTTTTACAACTGTCAGATGAGACTCAAATATTCCAAGTTATGGATACAATAGAAATTTTTTAAGATTTATGCTTTCATTTAACATGTTTTTTAACCTCCAAAAATGACCCCAAAAACAATAAACTATTACACAAAGCAAAAAAAATGGAAAAATAATTAAATAGATGGAAAAGTGGGAAAACAGAATCTTTGGGTTTCAGAGTAGTCATATAATGAGAGGCATTTTGGTAAAATGCAAAGACACTTACTTTGGAGTCAATTCTGACTTTGCTACTTGCTCTCTCTATGACTTTGGACAGGTTGTTTAACCTCTGTGTATAAATCTCCTTGTTTGTAAAATGAGGGAGGTATGGAACTACTTTGCCTCTAAGGTCCCTCATCGCCTCAAATCAATAAGCCCATAATGTTGGGGTAAATTGTTTAAAGCAGTGGTCAGTTAGTGAGTTTCTGCAGAGAATTTATGCTTGAACTCCTAAACACAGCAATATGTGATTCAAGATGAGTATATAAAAAGGGATGCACTGCATTGCCTGGAGTGATTTTCTTCTGTGTCAGACATGTGAAACTTAGAACTATAAAGCACAAAGTGAGAAAAGGGAAGTTGTGAGGATGGCCATTTTTGAGTGTTTTTGCTTTTTATTATGCCTCTGGTATCAGGTACATGATAGCTGTTTTCTGTGGCTTCATGAGAGGTGCAATGTTTATTTTAACTGTCATGTTGGATTTATTTATAACACCATTTCAAAAATTACACATGATAAATACTGTTTTGGGAAGATATCTTTTGTGAGTGTTTTTGATCATAATCTGCTTCTTCCTTCTCCATAAACCATGGCTGGAGGAATCTACAGGAAAAAAAAAAGAGCTACAAACACAACGGTGAGACATGGAAGGCTGAATTTCATAAAAGAATTTGCTTTTTACAAGAAAAAAAAAACTTCAGTGGGGAGTTTCAATGTCTGTTTGTCTTGCTAGAAAGCATTTTTGCAAGAAGCCTCTAAAAAGCCATACAATAGCATGGCTATTTTTCTCAAACAATAGTTTAAGAGAATTCCAACTCTGTGATTATTAATTTCTTCTGTCAGAGCTTTGAAAGTGATAAATGTCTAAGAAATACTGCATTTATTAGATCTTTGGAGCTAAACATGCTAAGTTCTTGCACTTTAAGCATACATAAAACGAAAACTCCCTTAGTCCTCACAGATACTTGTCCTTATGTATGGAAAGTGTTCAAATTCCCTTAAGAGGAACCTTTCTCTGGAAGGTCTTGGCTATAAAGGACCACTTTATTCTTTGGTGGAGAATTTTCAAATACTGACTCCTTGTGATAGAAAGCAAATCTTTATCTGTCACTGATGCCTATGGTTGGTTCTTAGACTGAACTGGTCATCTTGCTTGTTTTCAGAACACACACAGAAAATGAAGGTACCTCTATACCCCCTGTGGAATCCTGCACCAGTCCTACTAAAATGGATTTATCATATAGTAAGACTGCCAAACAGTGCCTAGAGGAGATATCTGGTAAGTACAATAACTTATTGGGAGGTCAACTCTCAGAATTTGTGTGTGTATATATGTATGTGTGTGTGTGTGTGTGTGTGTGTGTTTTAATTTATCTTAACTCAATCATGCAGTGCTCACTTAAAGAAGGCTCAATGGTATTTTGACCCCTAATCATCCTAGATTGTGGTTTTAGAGGGGAAAGAAAGATGGTCCCATGGACCACTTTTGAAGCAGATTTTTGAGATGCCCTGACTGGTTTGATTAAGAAATCAGCTTTGTCCTCCTTGAGTGAATAAAGCTTTCAGGAGCTGGGGTTTCAAGAAATGACTCACTTCAGGCAAATTGAACACTGTCAGCAGAAACTGAAATATCCCTAATTGGGAAGCTGTCAGAGAATTAATGAATCTGGGACTAGGGAAGTCAGAAACTCAGGTTGGAGTATGAAAGTTACACATACATGGCCATGATGAAACATATAGAGGATTAGAGGATTGTATGGTTCAATTCCCACAATTTATAAATAAGGACACTGACCTGGAGAGGTCAGGTGACTAATCAAAGGTCACATAAGGAGGAAGTAAGACAAGGGAGATTGAAACTAAGACTCTCTGATTCCAATACTGGCAATCTTTCCACTGTACCATGAATGAATGAAAATGGTGCTGGATTTGGAAACTGAGGTAAATCCTGACTCTGCCACTTAATCCCAACTTGACCTTGGGCAAGTCAGTTATTTTTTTTCTTTTTTTTAAAATTAATTTTATTTTTTAATTTATGGAATAAAACAAGCATTTCCATAAAAAGTATAATAAAGAAGATGACTGCACATGAAACTGCAAATCTATATGGACAACTTGCTATTCCTTTTAAATATATAATAAAGTTATCATGTAAATTTCTTTTTTTCCCTTTTATTCTCCCCCTCCCCGAAATTATCAATATTACAATTAATCTTTCCATGCCTCAGTCTTGTTGCCTGTAAAATGGAGTGGGGTGGAGTAGAGGGCCTTGGAAGACCCTTTAGAATCCAGTTCTATTGGGTCATGTATCAACTTTGTTTTAAAATGTCATGTTATCTTTATTTTATTGTATAAAACACAATTTTTATCATATTTATTGAATTTAGATTGTACAAGTCTTATTGTATTTATTATATTTTTATTTATTTTGTTAAATATTTCCCAATTACATTTTATTCTGATTTGACATCATTTGAGGGTGTTATGGACCTCAGGTGGCCTGTTGGTGGTGTCTTTGATACCTTTGCTGCAGAGTATCATCTTGGTCCCACCCTATCTTGTTACCTCTTGGTGCATAGATGAGGAGGACATAGATTAATTTAAGGTATATCTCCCAGGAATATAGAATGCTTCCTCATGGTGGATGTAGCTCTGTCATTTATGTTCTAGAATCACTGAATTCTATGTCAGGAAATGTGGCATGGCACTGATCAGCCAGCAAACTAGAAGGAAAGCTGCTTTTCCAGAAAAGAGTAGCTCTGATTCAGTGAAACTTAAAGTCTGTACACTGACTCAAACTTAGAAATACTCCTGAATTTTTTTTCTGACTCAGTTTTACCCCTGAGGCAAGATACAGTTATTTCATACAGGTCTTCCTTAATATTGGTGAACTAAAATTGTAAAGTTCTCTGGCAATCATTTTAAGCAAAAAGAAGAGATCTGTTCCACTAAGGGAATTCAGAGTTTATATCTCAATAATGTAAAATCAAACGTATAAAAATAAATCTGTGACATTTTGAATGCTTTTCTTTATAAACATATAATGTTATGATATCAAATGATCATTCTCATATTGCTTTAAAATATGAGTCTGCAGAAGGAAATGGGTTGATAATACATGATAGCACATTTTAAAATTATATTTGTAACTTTTGTTGAGAGGAACAATTAGGGGTGTGCTGGGACCAGCATATATACACACATTCACACATGCACACACAACACAATATACACATATATGTATGTATACCTATATGCATACATACATACATACATGTGCATACATGTAAATTGTGTGTTGATTGTGCACCTGTGTTTATGCATGTTTGTATGTGTGCACATGCATATACATTTATACATATATATGAACACAGAAGACTTTCAAGTTTAATCTGCATTGTTAATATTTTTCCATTACTTTCTTAAATCTAGACAACCAACAAACAAATCCTGATTTGTACCATTTACTGATTTCCAAGATCTAAATGCTCACACAATTTAATAGTCAACTCTCACATGCCAGTACTAGCCAGTTATAACACACCCCTTGGAGTGATTTTAATTGTCAGTTGTATATGGAAAGAGTTATAGTGTGATGGAAAGAGTTGGAGCCATGAATTTGGATATTGATTCTAATACATAACTGCTGTGTGATCACAAGAAAATGTCTTAATGTCTCTGAGCATCAGTTTCTTCTTTTTTAAAAAGGGGACTTCTGTGCCTACTTCATATGGTGCTTTTGGGGAAAGTGTTTTGTAAAATCTTGAATTACTATATAAATGTGACCTATTATATACAGTATGATGAAAACTTACATTTGAGATATTAAGTATTCAATTTTTTTAAAAATTCTAATTCTTAATTTTGTTTATTTAACTCTTATTTTTTGTTCTGTTAGAGTTTGAAGATGAATGTATTCTCTTGCTAGCTAAAAAGAGAGAAGAAAGTCTGAAAATGAAAGATTTGCATAAAACTTTTTTAATAGTTGCCAGAAAGCATAGTTACATTTTTTCTTTTTTCCCCAGCATAGCTAAAACATTTAGGCAGAAGAATGGGAATGTTCTCTTGCATTTTAGACCGGAATAGATAAACATGAGAAAGAAAACAATGAATAAATGCAGAAATGCTAAAACATTCTGAGCCTTAGCTGACAAACTCATTCCTTCTCCTGTTGTTTAAAATCAACCTGTTTAAATTCAGGCAAAGGGACTATAATAGTCACTAAGAGTCATTCCTTAATGGATACTATAAGACTCCTCTGATACCAATGTATTGGAAAGCATGATGTTCTTTTTTTCTCACGATCAGCAAGTTACAAATCAAGCTCTGTGCTTGGAAAATGCATATATCTGTACATGTACACACACATATACACAATGTATGTATCTATGTTCATATGCATGCATGTACATGTACACATATATCGTAATAGATAACAGTAAGGATTGCTGAAAAATATCTGAGTCTGAGGTAGTATTGAATATCATAAATAAAATTACAAAATAGTCATGACAGAGAAAGAATTATAGTAAAGGAATAGGTTCAGGAGGAAATAATAATAGAAAAGGCTTTGGAATAATACTTATGATCCCAGTTGCCAGTAAACAGAAAAGAGTAATGAACACAAGTACATCTGACATTTTAGCATGAGAAGATAAATATGATATCAGGTGGAATGGAAGGTTGGTGAAGTATGGCAGTAGATGATATACACACATATACATATGCATACATACACACACACACACACATATAAAAAGAATATAATATATCTATATATCAACACACACAAAACACAGAGAGAAGGAGAGGGAGAAGGAGAGAGAAAGAGATTGAGAGAGAGAGAGAGAAAGAGACTTAAAATGAACATCTAATAAAAGATACAGGAGTATGTATGTCCAAACAATATGAAACTGCATTGGAATCTACAAACCCGAGGAGTAAAATGGGTGGAGAATAAGTGAAAGAGCCTAAAAGGAAAAGAAACAAAAGAAAAATGCTCTGAAGTTATTCTAATAGGCTACATGGCCAGAGAAAGGATACAAACACTTATTTCCTAATATAGATCATAAGACTGGCACAGAGATAGTTGAGTGAGTAGTTACAGAGGACTTCAGACATCTAAGCCTCTGCAAGAGGGCTAATTCTAATAAAAGCAGAGCGACTGGTGAATTGTAGACTTGCCTTGATGATAGTTTCACTGCTCAGGGAGGTAGCAGAAGCAAAGAGGGGAATTGGATTTGATCGTTAACTACAAAGGACTAGTTGATAATCTAGAGGGGAAGAGAAGCTTGGGTAAAAGTGGCTATGTCTTTCTTGAGCTTTGAATGGCTAAAGAAGAGGATACTATCTAAATGTAACCTGGTCTAATATGTAACCTAAATTTAAAAGAAGCAATTTTTTTATTTATCACTCAAAGAAAAAGAATAGGTAAATTATTATGAACTGAGACTCCGAAAGAAAATATCCTTCATGAGGGCTGGAAGGATCTAAGAACATAATTTTTTAGCCTGTTTATTGATACATTTGCCTGTTTATTGATACATTTTATTTTTATGTCACCTTTATTTCTCTCTCTCTCTCTCTCTCTATATATATGTATGTGTGTATATATATACATATATATGTAGAAAGAGATACCTATACATATATATATACATATACATACACACACACACACACACACACACGTCACTTTCCTCCCCTCCACAGCTATTCATCCCTTATAGTAACCATTTTTTAAGAGAGTGAAAAAAAAAAACCAAACATTTCAACAAAACCAACATACACATTGTGTCAATACATGATACTTCACATTCATAGTTCCCTACCTTTCTAAAGAAGAGAGGTTTATTTCTTCAACTCTTTGTTGTGACCAAGGTTGGTCATTACAATTAAATAGTATTCAAATTCAGATTTTTGTCTTTTTATGCCATTGTATTGTATAAATTAATTTTAGATGTGTTGAATTTGAGGGTGATGGGGCTGGGAAAGGTGCACTGGGATACATTCAAGTGGAAATGCACTTTAGGCAGTTGGGAGATTGAGCCTTGAGCTCAGAAGCAAGCCCATGGCTGTACATACAGATTTGGAAATCATCAACATTGAGGTAATAGTGGATCATTGTGGGAGTGAATGTTATGAATCAGTCAATCAGATCTTATTAAATGCTTATCACGTGTCACTACTTAAGGATACAGAGACAAAACTAAAAAAAATTCTCTCCTTTACAGAATAATGAACATAAAGAGAGGAGAAAATTGGTCCAAGTACAGAACT